TACTGTCTGTGTCCATGGGTTATGCCTATATGCATACAAGTTCTTTGGTTGATCTCTTTCCATCCACCTACCCTTCCCCGCTTTCCTTCAATATAATTTTTAATGATTGCACAGCATTCTTACTCTGTTGTCTATAATTATTCACATTCTTAGTTAATCTAGAATTTTGCATTCTTTTTACAGATGAAAATCTAAAAATTAAAAATGGTTTTCTGTTCTGAAATCAGTGTAAATATTGCCCAGTGGGACCCATAACCCACTCTAATCCACCCTAATGTGTTTGAGTGCCCAGTGGTAAATAAAGCAGGCCCTTCCTTCCTTCCTTCCTTCCTTCCTTCCTTCCTTCCTTCCTTCCTTCCTTCCTTCCTTCCTGTTCCAGCTTATATACATTGCATAGAACTGACCTTCAGCCCTGCAGGCCTTCTGCAACTCTACCTCAGTGTTAGGCTGCCCCAGGAGAGAGTGTGTGTAAGCCTTTTGTTATCAATACACTTTAATCTTATCCTTGTACCCAGCCCACAAAGTTACGATAATGAGAACTTGAACTCTTCGGGACGTCACTGTGAAAGATCTTTCCTCTGTAGGCATCAGAAAGTGCTGAGAAGTCTTAGCTGAGCAACGTGCAAGGGGGAGGAAACAAGAATTTAGACCACCATTTGCTTTCCTGTATGCAAGAAGTCTTTTGAGGGGTTGAATAAGGTAAGAATGACTCTATTTTCTTGGAGAGGGAGGGATGGATCTTGAGTCATCCATTGCCTCAGAGATCTTGATGAAACCCCAAACCTCCACCCCATTTTCTTAGCTTTGGAAACCCATTTTGCCATATCATTACTTTTTTCTTTCACAGTCTTGAGCAATAGGCACTTCAGCATGGTAAAGATGTGACAAGTGGCTTGCTGTTTTCTCATTAGAGCCTCATCACTGACCTTCTAGGACAGTGGTTCTCAACCTTCCTAATGCCGAGACCCTTTAATACAGTTCCTCATGTTGTGGTGACCCCCAACCATAAAATTATTTTCATTGCTACTTCATAACTGTAATTTTGCTACTGTTATGAATCATAATGTAAATATCTGATATGCAGGATGTATTTTCATTGTTACAAATTGAACATAATTAAAGCATAGTGATTAATCACAAAAACAATATGTAATTATATATGTCTTTTCCGATGGTCTTAGGCGACCCCTGTGAAAGAGTCGTTCAACCCCCAAAGGGGTCGCGACCCACAGGTTGAGAAACGCTGTTCTAGGATTATGCTAGATTAAGTGGGAACCATAAGGAAATGTATATTCCTTTAAAATGTAATTCTTCGTCCATTTGCCTTCTGAAGCAGACAAGACATTTGCTTTAATGTTTGAAATCAGAGTTTAATCATTATGAGAAATAAATAGTACTAATGGCTTCAAAAAGAATTGTGATATGTTGGCAGTAATTCTGGCAACAAAGTCAGAGTGGTGAAACACATCACTGAAATCTGAGTAAGAGGTGGAAACTCTGATGTTAAATCAAGTGCTGCTGTTGACTTGTGCAAAGGCTGGTAGTGGTAACCGGTCACCAGAGAAAAACTAGCCAAAAAAAAGTATGATTTTGTTGTTTGTTACACAGGCTCCTGCCACGTGACTACATTTTTTACATATAGAATGTGCCTACAGATGATCTGGGGTTGGGAGGTCCACTTGTCCACCATCCATTTTTTTATTGCCCTTTTTGTACAGAAGTTGTCTCAGCTAACAGAGAGGCTTACAGAAACCAAAGTTTAGAGCAGGGGTCCTCAAACTACGGCCCAAGGGCCACATGCAAATACAAATATTGTATTTGTTCCCATTTTGTTTTTTTTACTTCAAAATAAGATATGTGCAGTGTGCATAGGAATTTGTTCATAGTTTTTTTTTAAACTATAGTCCGGCCCTCCAACGGTCTGAGGGACAGTGAACTGGCCCCCTGTTTAAAAAGTTTGAGGACCCCTGGCTTAGAGCAAGAACTAGGTGTACTGGGTTTGAAGTTTGCTACTGAAACAATAGCTAATGACTAATAAACCTCTTTGGATCATCAGTTTCAGAGGCATATCTTAGATGTGCTTCCTGACTTCTGGGGGCTGTCAGTGAAACCTGGGACCCAGATGCAGAACTAATTTGTTCTGCCCTAAATTTGAAGTTGTTCCTACTGCTGATCTTGATGGTGGTCGTGGTGCCATATGGATGAGGAAAGTCTACCAATAACCAGGAAGTTTAGGAAGACGTTTCAGTCTCCTTGTCCATTCCCAGTTTAGCCCTTCCTCTGAAGTGTTTGCTGGGTGACTGATTTTTAACCTCTAGTCCAGGGGTTGCAAAATAAAATGACTACCAAGACCAGGTAGTAACTTAGATATACAAGACCCATGGGGTAGGGGCTATCGCAAGTTGGAGAAGGCATGCACCATCTAAAAAGAACAGCACCTACCAAGTTTTGAAACTTTTGGCAAATGGGAATGCTGGCTCAGTGTTGCCACATTTTAGAAAGTATTTTGAAAGAAATTTGAAGTTTCAGATTTGTAAATGTGGACTCTATAGAAAAATTGTGAGACTTAATCTTTTATCTTGTCAATTAAGTCAAATTGAAACAAAAAAATTGTCTGGGCTGTACTACACACCATTGTTTGTTGCCAATTTACAACTCCTGGGGGTGGCAGCATCTTAGCCACCATTCGGGCGGAGGCAAGACGTGGGATTCCAATCCCATCTCACTGCTCAGGCTTCCTAAAGCAAGTCCCTTCCTGTGATTCCAATAATCCTCTAATGGTCTCATATAAACTCCCTTCAAGGACCATGAAGAACACAGAGTCTTTGCCAATTTGGAACCCAGTGATGAATGTCAACATTTTGAGCACTTATTACATTCCATGGAACCAACAAATTATTACTTGCATTATCTCCTCTTATTTTTATGGGAACTCTACGAGATAGATACTAAAATGATCACCATCATATTCCTATTTACAGATGGAGAAACTGAGGCTCATTGTCTGGGATTTCCCAAGTTCAGTTGCAGTAAGTGGCAGAAATGAGATTTGAATTCTGGAGTCAGACTTCAGAATCCAATTTTTAATGACCATTATTATACTTTCTCCTGTTATATGACTTTTTAGCTTGTATAGTCCCTCCGCATAATGATGAATTCTCCTCCTAAAATATCCTAAGGAATTTGTAAGGACATTTTCTGCTTTTGTAGAACACAGGGGCATTTGTATTTTTATCCTCTTCATTTGCTACAAGATTTGCAAAATGTGTGAAATCCTTATCACTGGAGAGGAAAATGTTATTAACACCTGGCTTGAGACCAGAGATGCCAACCCCCCTTTCCAGGCCATTTTCTTATCAGGTAGTATTTAAAGTTAGAACATGGGGTGTAGAGGCCTATGGTATGGATTTCACCTCCATGTGGACAAGATAATTTTACTTAGTCTATGATCACAGAGGAAAGCCCCCACCTCAGCAAGCCTCTTCCCAAGTACAAACAATGTGGGTGGGTCCGTCATCCCCGTGGACAGAAGTGCTCCAACCTAGACCCATAAACAGCATCATCCCCATGAAGGAAAGCAGCAGTGATGTAGCCGAGGAACGCAAATAGGTTTTCACTTAGCTGCCCATGCCGAATGATGAGTGGTGGATGCCAGGATGAGTACTGTGCTGAGAAAGATTTGGAAACCCCATCTGAACTTACCAAAGAGTGCTGTAATTGACTGGTCTTGTCTGCTATGGGCCTGGGATGTGGAACTAGTGGTGAATGTGCTCTGTACTTGCCTGGTATAGTCTGTTCATATGAAAGAGCTAAGACGTCTCAGGCAGATGGAAGCACATGCGTTTTAATTTGTGATTCTGTCTTTTTCTCTCTCTTCCTTATTTCTTCTTCCATCTCTGCTTCTTTCTTAGGAAAAATGGCCAAACGTACCTTCTCCACATTAGAGACGTTCCTGATTTTCCTCCTCATAATGATGACTGCTATCACGGTGGCCCTTCTCAGCCTCTTGTTTATCACCAGTGGGACCATCGAAAATCCCAAAGGCAAGTGTCATGGGCTCTCTTGGATGCTGCGTCTAGGCCTGCAGGAAATTCCTCGATTTCTGTGGACACTAAGGCAGGAAATAGTGTCTGTTGATAATGCTGATAATGGAGGCGAAAGGAGAAGAAAGATCCACTAAATATCAATTAGTCTTTTAAAAGCCTTGAAGACGGGAGTGTTGAATTCACACCCTCAGGAGGGCCAATGAAGCTCTGTAAATGAGCTCGAGTGGGGAAGGGACCAGGATGGGGCAGCTGCAATTTTGGTGAAGAGGGTCCACGGGCCCTCCTGAGTGCCAGCTGTTTGTTGTTATGATAAACACGGACTCAATTCTCCTGAGTTTCAAGAGAAGCCAAAAATTTGGGTGTTTAGACATAGCTTGATTTCTTTTTCAGCACTACAGATGAATTTAGTTTTTAAAAACTGTCTAGGCTCTATTTACAGGCAATAATGGGCCCATGGGTCTTTATAGAGTAACCTCTAGTCTAGGTTATATTATACCTGTTAAATGAGTAGAGAAGACAGTGGGGTTTGAATGCTCTGACCAAGGTAAAGGGGGGGCTGGACTCAGGCCAACTGGAGAAGGAGATGCATGTCTGAAGCCCGGTTTTCTCCTCGGTGGCCTTTTCTCTTTTCCAGTGTATTCTCCACCATGTCCCCATGCTTTGAATTTCCTGCAAACACAGAGGACCAGAAATCCTCCGTGCCAGGAGTGGGCAGAGCAGGGTCCTGGACTGCTAGATATGAAAGGCTCTGTAGGGCTTATTTAGTTTTAGCTCTTAAAATGAGACTCAGGGAGACCTGGCCAGTATTGCTCAGTGGTTAGAGGGTGGGCCCACAGACTGAAGGGTCAAAAGTTCAATTCCCAGTCAAGGGCACGTACCTGGGTTGCAGGTTCCATCCCTGGCCCTGGTCAGGGTGTGAGCAGAAGGCAACCAATAGATGTGTCTCTCTCACGTAGATCTCTCTCCTCCCTTCCCCCTCCCTACCCGCTCCCTTCCTCTCACCCTCTCTATAAATCAATGGGAGAAATATCCTTGGGTGAGGATTAACAAAAGAGAGAGAGAGAGAGACAGACAGACAGACAGACAGACACGCATACACACTCAGGGAGGTTGTCTATAATTACGGCAACTATTTCCATAGTGGAAGTTGCTGTTTATTGAAGGGTTACTTTGTGGCAAGCACTGTAATCAGGAGCCTACATCAATTTCTTATTTAATTCTAATAAGGTTCCTATGAAGGTTGATGCTAGTCTTAGTACCATTTTATAGATGTGAAAGCTGAGACTTTGAGATCACAAAGAGCTTGCCCTTGACTATGTAAGTTTTGCTTTGGTTGGCACCACATGCCTATGTCAGTATCAATAAAGTAATAGCAAAGCTTCCTGCTTCCTTTCTTGCAACACTAGATGTCCTGTAGAGAATGTGGGCTCGGGGAGGAACAGACACAGATCCTAATTCCCTCTGGAATGTGGTTGAAAGCGCATCAGATTCTTAGTTGGAAGATCTGGTTTGGACACTTGATTAAGCATATGCTCTTTGAATTCTTGGTTAAGTCACTATCTTGGCTTTAGTATTCTCATATGTAAACTGAGGAGATTGGACCAGGTGATCTCTAAGGTTTTTTTGTTTTTGTTTTTTGAGCTCCGGAAGTCTAGGATCCCATAATGAGTTAGTTGCTAATCTCTTGCCTAAGTACTTCCTGAGCACTTGTACCTTCTGACACTGACTTCTGCTGCCTTGGCCATCCCTGGCTGTTGTCCAGGTTGGAAACAAACAAGTAAAATGTGTATGTAAGATGTCTAAATATATAAATAAAACCAAAGCTCTAAGGTAGTCACTGTTCTATATTTTTAATATGCAGTAACATATTTATTGTTCAAAACAACCCTTGGAAGTAGGGTATTATTATTATTATCTCTATTTTATAGATGAGAAAAATTGGGGTGAATAGCTTAAGTAATTTGTTCAGCCAGTAATTGGTAAAATCAGTTTTCCAATCCAGATTTTTGGCATCTGTCCTTTTATTCTCAATGCTATTCTGCCTCCCTGATATTTGTATGTATATGTGATATACATATTGATAAGAAATGTAGTGTGTACTTATGCATATATGGTGACTTGGGAATCATTAGCATAAGATAGAACTATGTCAACAAGTATACAAAGATCTAGGTTGCATTAAGAATAAGTCTTTAGCTCTGACTGTTGTGGCTCAGTGGGTTGGGCATTGTACCATGCACGGAAAAAGGTTGCTGGTTGGATTCCCAGCAACATTGTGGGCTCAATCCCTGGTAGGGGGTGTGCAGGAGGCAGCTGATCGATGTTTCACTCTTACATTGATGTTTCTCTCTCCCTCTCCCTTCTTCTCTCCCTAAAAATCTATATATATTTAAGAATATGTCTTTAAAAAAAGAATAAAAGTCTTGAGAAGGCTGAGGAAGGTCAAAGCAGGGTAGAGACAGCTGGGGTGGCACCCTGGAGATGAGGGTTTGAGCTGGATGTGAGTGTGATGGAAATGAATCAACTCTGAAGGTGGTAGTGGAGATTGGTTGGTGGAGTAGAAGGAATAAGTACTCTGGATGGAGAGAATGGCAAGAACGAATCCCAAGAGGCTGCGTTTAGTAGGTTGTGTGCCGGGAACCTGGCACATGATTTGTTTGGCTGGTGTAGAAGTGCATGGTGAGTGAATGAAGGGTGATGAGTTTGCAAGGAATGGCTTGTGAGGAGAAGCTGAAGGAGGTTTGATGGAGACCTTGATTGTTTAGTTGAAACATGTGCAGTAAAGAAAAAGATCATCCTTAGGAATGATATAAAACAAGTTCCTGAGATGTTTTCCACCGTGTATCATACACATAAACAATATACAAAGATTTTTTTCCTCAGGAACCTGAACTTAGGTGTTCTAACTAATGCTGACACGTAAGTGATCTGAATTGTTGTTTCTTAAATATCTTACTCTATTTTTATTTTTTAAACATTTTATATATTATTTATTTAATTGAATTTATTGGGTGACATTGGTTAATAAAATTATGTAGGTTTCAGCTATAGAATTCTACAATACATCATCTGTACTGTGTGTTTACCACCCCAGTTCAAGTCTCAAATATTTTATTCTATTTTTTGGATTCAGGTTTTCCATCCACTGAGAGCCCTCAGGCCACACAGAGCCCCACAGCCACCCAGGGCTCCACAGCCCCTCAGCGCTCCACACTCACACAAGGTCCCACAACCACCCAGGTGGACCCAGGGACTACCACCCCAGAGCCTCCTCTATTTCAGAACTTCAGTGGCTACCACATAGGTGTTGGGCGAGCTGACTGCACAGGACAAGTAGCGGATATCAATATGGTAGGTAAATCATGGGCTCCTCAAAGAGACTGTGAAATAAAATTTTATTATTTTGAATCCTGCATTTATTCCTGATTATTATAGCATCGTCTTACTTTCCTATTGACTTCACTGCTGTGTAAGACTATGAGTATTGTCCTATAAGGAAGAAGGGATCATTTATTTAACCACAACTCCCTTGGAAAGACAGTTGGCCACTTTTTATGAAATGGCAGGACTAGGAAACTCAAATATGACAGAGGATGGGCAGGTACTGTAAGTGACTGAAGCAGATCAGTGTGAGATGTTCAACATCTAGTGATCCTCAGTTTGGGGACAGTAGGAAGTTGGGGGTATGGTGGTGCATCTAGATGTGCACGGCCCCAACTAATTGTTGCCATGTAAGCATGTGGACTTAGGGTTGCTATATCTGACAGTTTTTTCAAGAGAATCCAGAAACTTCTCTGGACTGAAGATCTGAGGGTTTAAGTATCTCACTTGGAAAATGTAGGCAACTCTAGTTAGTTAAAACTGGAAACCTGGCATGGGCCAACAGTGCGTTAGCCAAGTAGAACCCTTCAATGTGTTAGGTGTGGTCTGTTGGCTGTTAGCACGCAACTTCTTTGCTCTGATGGTGGTTACACTGTTTATATCAACACTTCCCTAGGAAACCAGAGCATGAGGTTGTCTGATGGGATTGTCTCCTGTCTACCAAATAATCTTTAGCTTCAAGGAATTACAGTTGACCCTTGAACAATGAGGGGGTTAGGCACACCAACCCCCACACAGTGGAAATTCATGTATAACTTTTGACTCCCCCCAAACTTAACTGCAGTTGGCCCTTTGTAGCCACAGATTCAACAAAATGCAGATCAAAACATTATTTTTGATCCACGGTTGGGAATGTAAGAATACTATTTTCAATCCCTGGTTGGTTGAATCCAAGGATGTGAAACCTGTGGATCTGAAGGGCTGACTGTATTTATTAAAAAAAAGCCATACATAAGTGGATGTGCACAATTTAAACCTGTGTTGTTGAAGGGTCAACTGTATTCCTTGCTGTCTATTCTGAAAACTGACTCTTGAATCATTGTAACCCTAAATAAACACCCACATGAGGGCAAAGCAAGCAGTAGAAGGAGCATTCTGAAGACTTGGGTAGACTTTAAGGGTGGGTTTTATGACATGGTAAGAGAAGGGGCAGGGATAGATGTATTTGATCTGACTTGGCTTAGGGAGGGACAACATGGGAGAAGCCAGGGTTAGGTACTTAACCATAAAGTTATGGTTAGATTATTTAACCATAAAGAAACCATTTTCTTCAGGTAAAAAACAAAACAAAACATACACATTGGCAACTCAAGTGAGGGAGCCTTCAATTTCAGGATGTTCCCCCTCAGTGTGCATGGTGGGAGGGGAACTATTTCCTTGCATAGTACCTTGGACTGGCAGGAGAAAAGGTCTTATTTCAAAAAACAGAGAAGCCCTGAAAGCTCTCCAGGACAGTAACACAATTCTGGGCCACACCAGCTCCTCCCTCACCCATAAGGCAATGAATAGCTTCTGTCAAGCTTTTGCTACTTTGCCTTTACTTATTTCTACACAGAAGAGTAAAGACTCTTTTACAGGTGTTGGCTTTATTATTGAAAACACATTATCTCACTCAGAGCTTTCAGTGACCTGTGGACTGTTTTTATTTGTCTTTCTTTCTTTCTTTTTTTAAAATATATTTTATTGATTTTTTACAGAGAGGAAGGGAGAAGGATAGAGAGTTAGAATCGATGAGAGAGAAACATTGATCAGCTGCCTCCTGCCCACCTCCTACTGGGGATGTGCCCGCAACCAAGGTACATGCCCTTGACCGGAATC